CCCTGTATAACATATTTCAGATGTAGCAGACAAAATATTTGGCCAGTCAAATGTTCAGTGCAAGAAACCAAGTTTGCTGCATTGAGATTTTGTGTGTTATCGGTATTGTGTGTGTCCGGCAGTTTCTCCATATATGGACCAAGTCCTTTGCATCAAGTATTTAACCCTTAAACAGTCCAAACAGATCGACGTTGAAATTCGTAGTGCTCCAAAAGTAGATCTACTTTTTTTTACATATTTTCAAATATAACAAAAAAAAATGTAGATAAAAGTTTTTTTTTACACATTTTCAAATGTAAAACTAAAAAGAAGATCTAAATTTTTTTTTACATACTTTCAGATGTTGAAAAAACGTATATATACGTTTGGACCGTTTAAGGGTTAAATTTAAATGGACCTCTCCTTTCCATTAGTCCATTACACCGAGGTTATACTGTACATCAGTATTACAATATTTACCTAATTACCTGTCTGTAATCATAGAAATAGATTATTATTATTATTACTGATATTATTATTAGCAGTAATGTTCTTACTGATAGTGTTATTATTATTTCTGTTGTGATTTCTTCTTTTATTATTATTGTATTAAAGTGATTTCTTCTTTTATTATTATTGTATTAAAGTACAGTGGACCCCCGCTTTACGATATTATTTCATTCCAGAAGTATGTTCAGGTGCCATTACTGAACGAATTTGTTCCCATAAGGAATATTGTGAATTAGATTAGTCCATTTCAGACCCCCAAACATACACGTACAAATGCACTTACATAAATACACTTACATAATTGGTCGCATTGGGAGCTGATCGTAAAGCGGGGGTCCACTGTATTATTATTAAACTAGATGATGTGAGGTTTCCAAAAGTATAGCTCAGAGGCCTTTGGTGGGATCATTGAGAATGACTAGGAGGGATAGGGGTCATCCCAGGAAAGGTTAAAGAGGTTTTGAGTGCTATGGGCTTGAATATCCAACAGTTCACTGGAAGGATATTACACAGCCCTAAAACTAAGTGACAGTAATGAACGCCAAAAAATATTGTTAGAGAATATTATAAAGAATTGTCAGTTTTAAATGTGTGTTTCTTTTAAATAAAGACGCTATTTGACTTGCACTGGTTTGGTGCATGTGTGTGAATATAATAATTGTATTATGACAGGCAGTGGTAGTTGGATGCTTATGGGATAATATATAAATACTGTAAGTTTATAAGTGTACCCTCAGTATAGCAGACATCCACATAAAGGACTTTGGAAATAGAACAAAATCTGCTATGTCAATTGATTCAGAAACAATGGACAAAGTTCATTGGTTATAGATGGTTCATTTTTATTACTATCATGGCAAAACAATTTCTTCTCTATCCACAGCACAACCTAATGGGTTTAGCGGTTAGTTATGATTGTAATAATAATAATAATCTATCCACCACAGTTGCCATTATCAGCCTCCTGCTTCCCCTATTAGTTCATTATATTGAGCATTTGCTATAATTGGTTTGGGATTAGTAAACTAATAAGTGTTATTTCCTATTTATCTAGTGCATTTTGTTGGAGGACCGTATGACAAACAAATATTGCATCGGGTGTAGTGAAGTTGATGCTGACACCAGGAAGGACAATCCAGGTAAGATGTAACCTAACGAAATTTTTTTAGTAATAACTACAGTGGAACCTCAGTTTTGGTGATTAACCTGTTCGAAAAAGTCTGATGAAAACTGAATTGTACGAAAACCTGAAGCAATATTTCCCATAAGAAATAATGTAAATCCAATTAATCCGTTCCAGACACCCAAAAATATTAACAAAAAATACGTTTTATAGAGAATACTAGGGCAAACTAGAGAAAACTAGGTTTTACTGAGGTTTTACTGTACTCTAATAAACACAGTAGCTTTGTGTAACTTTCTTAAAACTGGTCTGGGACCAAGCAGCAGGGGCAATGACCCCCAGAATTCAATCAACCACACATGTTGGTTCATATAACCCTCTGACTTGAAACCAGTATACTATAGTTAATGATGGACCAATAAAAAGTCTATAACTGGATGATGACAAATCCCCCGTAGCTCAGTTGGTAGCACACTCAGCTCGCATACTGGGGTCTGTGGTTTGATCCCCGGTATGGGTGGAAATATTAGGATGTGTTTCCTTACACCTGCTGTCACTGTTCACCTAGCAGTAAGTAGGTACCTGGGTGTTAGTTGACTGGTGTGGGTGGCATCTTTGGGGGGGTGGTAGTATACCTCAGATAGGGTTGTGCTTTGAAATTATCCGAGATACGATAACAGCTTTTAGCCTGTAAAATTGATTTGTGTAAAAAAAAAAGAAAAACTTAATGTTGCAAGGTTCCATGAGGGGCCTCATCAGGAAAGTTCCAGAGACTAATGAGAATACATAAAATTAGGAAAGTGGTTCCTAATCACTTGTAAATAGGAATAAGACTGTTTTGACTTTCAAAAATTTCATAAAGAACTGAAAACTATGGTAAAAATTCATGATGGAGTATTAGAGGGTTAATAATGAAAAATATTCTTTATTTCCTTTGGAAATAAGCCATCTCCACAATTAAATGTATAAAAATAAATGGATCAGAAAAAAAGAGAAAAAAAGATGAGTTAAGATTGAAGGTCTGCTCGTAGAGGGATACTTCCTCATGGGTCACATTGATTTTAACATGTTCAATATACAAATAACCCGCACATAGAAGAGAGGCACTTACGCCGATGTTTCGGTCCGACTTGAACCATTTACAAAGTCACATTTTGTAAATGGTCCAAGTCGGACCGAAACGTCGTCGTAAGCTACTATCTTCTATGAGCGGGTTATTTGTATATTGTTCCAGTCACAGTATTGTGCCTTTTTTTTTTTTTTTTTTTGTTAAACATGTACAGGTTTAAATAACAAAAAAGGCACAATACCCTGACTGGAATGATACAGAAATAACCCGCACATGGAAGAGAGGAGCTTACAACGACAGTGTGACTTTGTAAATGGTCCAAGTCGGACCAAAACGTCATTGTAAACTCCTCTCTTCTATGTGTGGGTTATTTGTGTATGTTCAGGTTTTTTACAATTGATGTTACAGAAGCAACCCCATTGTCCCTTGAAGGTTCCTTGATGTTGGTGAGGGGCTCTTGATCTAACTAATTGGATCAATTCTCCAATCCCTTGTATCAAGCCTGAATGCCTTCCATTCCCCAAGGCACTGTATCAAATCAAATCAAATCAAATCAAGTTTATTCTCTATAAGGGTTACAAAGTGGGGCTTACAGGATTTGGATATTGTGTAGTTTACATGTTATAAAATACTAATTACAGAGGGGGCCACTAGGACACCTAGCATGGCTAGGCATTTCGGGCAGACTTGGGTTAATTCTGAACATTAAATCCTTACAGATTATGGTATTAAGTCTAGGTGACTACATTATAATTTGTGAGTTTAGCAATGTGAATGCTTTTGTTTTGGCACAATAGAAGGTGTCTATATTGGAGTATCATAGGCAAATATGACTAGTTAGGATTCATTATTTTACAATTAAGATTAGTATTTCTGTGTTTATAGTCAGTGGGTGAGTGAGTGTAATTGTGAACTACCAGGTGGTTATCATGTAGTTAGTTGTCGGGGTGTATCAGGGTTTAGTGCTCCCCCATAACTAATAACAATAAGCCCTGTTAGTACAAATCTTATTATTATTAGCACTGATACTGATGTTCTTCACTCTCACCAATCTGTTTCAACTCGTGTTTTTTTTTCTTTTTTAACACGCTGGCTGTCTCCCACCAAGGCAGGGAGACCCAAAAAAGAAACACTTTCACCATCATTCACACTATCACTGTACTTTATGTATGTAGACTAATCCTTTATTAATTGTATACTGTTTTATATAGAAATAAAGATGTACATACCGATATTTTGGTTAATTTTTTGGAGGGTCACTCTACCTTGGTGGGGAATGGCAGGGACAGTGGGACCCCAAGTTTCAGCCATAATCCATTCCAGAAAGCTGTTCGAGTGCCGTTACCAAACGAATTTGTTCCCATAAGGAATAATGTAAATTAGATTAGTCCATTTCAGACCCCCAAAAATACTCTTACAAAAGCACTTACAGTAATACACTTACATAATTGTTAAAGTTGGGAGCTGTATGAAACTCGGGGTGCCACTGTATGAAACTCGGGGTGCCACTGTAGATAAAAAAACATTCATACATACCTTTGGAGGAGGAGAGATATGTTGTGACCTGGTGGCTAAAGCTCCCACTTCACACACGGAGGGCCCGGGTTCAATTCCCGGCGGGTGGAAACATTTCGACACGTTTCCTTACACCTGTTGTCCTGTTCACCTAGCAGCAAATAGGTACCTGGGTGTTAGTCGACTGGTGTGGGTCGCATCCTGGGGGACAAGATTAAGGACCCCAATGGAAATAAGTTAGACAGTCCTCGATGACGCACTGACTTTCTTGGGTTATCCTGGGTGGCTAACCCCCCGGGGTTAAAAATCCAAACGAAATCTTATCTTATCTCTTATCTTATCAGCATGACTCTTGCAAAACAGTGATGGAGTGAGTGATGATGAAGGTGTTTCTTCTTTTTTGGGTCGCCCTGTCTTGATGGGAGGCAGCCAATGTGTTGAAAAAAACATTACCTTTATATGTTATTCCATTTCTTGTCAGCGGTAAGTGAAGAAGCAGCTAGAAGAGCAGTGGAGGAAATTCAGCACAGACAAAATCATGAAAAGGAATCACCATCACCAGGGAAGAGCATTACCTCTAATGAATCATCACTTACAAACACACCAAAGGTACCACTAGTTACCCAGTCTGTGCCAACGTCTACTTCGGATACCAAGGTTTACTGTGAAAGTCCAGCAAGTAAAAGGTGAGATTGTGAAATTACCATGTGTTATTGTTTACTCGTTGGTATTTAATTTGTTGTGCTTTACAATAACTGATATGTTGCTACCTAGTAAAATGAACAGTAAAAATCACAACCCAGTTGTTGGAAAAATTCACAAGTAGCCTATAATTTGGTGAGGAAACTTTAATTGATGTGTTGATTCATACTGAACATTATCAATTCGTGAACAATTAAAAAGGCGCAATACCATGGCTGGAGCAATACACGAGTAACCCGCACAAAGGAAAATGAAACTCATGATGACATTTTGGTCTGACTTCTACCAAGTCGGACTGAAACATTGTCGCAAATTCATTCTCCTATGTGCAGGTTATTTGTGTGTCAGTTCATGATCTAATAATGGGCCAGGATACCCTGAAACATTTAAAATGTCATCCAAATCATGGGTCGATATTAAATACTGTAATACTTATGTGTATCTGTGCCTAAATAAAGTTACTTACCAAATTGCTTAACTTGAGTTACCCCATGGAAACACTGCCATGCTATCATTACATATAATTTTTAACTTACAATTTTCTATCTTGTTTCTTATTAACTTCCAGCAATAATTATGATTTTTTCCGGTGCAAGGATATGGCAACTCTTCACTCTTACATTAAATAATGCACATGGAATGTTTTGAAGTGGATCAGGCGATTCTTTAAGAGTTTTAAGACATTTGAAATGCCACCTCTCATTAATGGATTTCAGCAGTTTCGGACAAAAAAAAACTGGCCAGACAAACGAATGTATTGTCCGTAGTGATAGTGTTCGGTTGTCTTCTGAAGCATGAAACCAACCCATATAACTCTAGTATTTGTCTAGTACGAGCCAGAGTAGCCATGTCTACTACCTGCAGAAAAATTACAGATTAAAATAGATCTATCCAATAGAAAACAAATATTCAAAAAAATTTTTAGAAAGAAATATTAACTTAGACTAGCAAAACTGTTGAATGAAAAGCAACTAATTTAAAAGATTTGGTATCTACTGTTGTTTCTTCTGAATTAGTTAATTCTGTGTAGTCATCTGAATTTAAATATTTATGAGACTCACAAAATATGGACTTTTGCAAAACAAACACAGGGGGAGTTGAATGATAGCTCTAGGCCTTTTGTGTTGCAATCAACACATCTTAAGGAGCTTGCAATGTTTTATAAATGAGTAGGAAGTCAGGTAGATTTGTTCTGGGGCCTCTAGCTAAGAGTTGTTCCCCCTGAAAGAATCTGTCTGGACTTCCTACTCATTTCTGCAGCATTGCAAGCACCTAAAGATGTGTTGATTGCAACACAAAAGGCCTAGAGCTATCATTCAACTCCCCCTGTGGTTGTTTTGCATCTTGTATGACTTGTTCACAATTATTGCAGTATGTACTTAGGTAAAATTAGGTCTTAGACAGGGATGTGTAATGTCACCATGGTTGTTTAATGTATTTATAGATGGGGTTGTAAAAGAAGTAAATGCTAGGGTGTTCGGGAGAGGGGTAGGATTAAATTATGGAGAATCAAATACAAAAGGGGAAGTGACACAGTTGCTTTTTGCTGATGATACTGTGCTTATGGGAGATTCTAAAGAAAAATTGCAGAGGTTAGTGGATGAATTTGGGAGCGGGGTTAGAGGTAGAAAGTTGAAAGTGAACATAGAAAAGAGTAAGGAGATTAGGGTATCAGATGATTTAGATAAAGAAAAATTGGATATCAAATTGGGGAAGAGGAGTATGGAAGAAGTGAATGTTTTCAGATATTTGGGAGTTGACATATCAGTGGATGGATTTATGAAAGATGAGGTTAATCATAGAATTGATGAGGGAAAAAAGGCGAGTGGTGCATTGAGGTATATGTGGAGACAAAGAATGTTATCTATGGAGGCAAAGAAGGGAATGTATGAAAGTATAGTGGTACCAACACTCTTATATGGGTGTGAAGCTTGGGTTGTAAATGCTGCAGCAAGGAGGCGGTTGGAGGCAGTGGAGATGTCCTGTCTAAGGGCAATGTGTGGTGTAAATATTATGCAGAAAATTCGGAGTGTGGAAATTAGGAGAAGGTGTGGAGTTAATAAAAGTATTAGTCAGAGGGCTGAAGACGGGTTGAGGTGGTTTGGTCATTTAGAGAGAATGGATCAAAGTAGAATGACATGGAGAACGTATAAATCTGTATTGGAAGGAAGGCGGGGTAGGGGTCGTCCTTGAAAGGGTTGGAGGGAGGGGGTAAAGGAGGTTGTGTGGGCAAGGGGCTTGGACTTCCAGCAAGCATGCGTGAGCGTGTTAGATAGGAGTGAATGGAGACGAATGGTATTTGGGACCTGACAAGCTGTTGGAGTGTGAGCAGGGTAATATTTAGTGAAGGGATTCAGGGAAACCTGTTATTTTATATAGCCGGACTTGAGTCCTGGAAATGGGAAGTACAATGCCTGCACTTCAAAGGAGGGGTTTTGGGATATTGGCAGTTTGGCGGGATATGTTGTGTATCTTTATACGTATATACTTCTAAACTGTTGTATTCTGAGATAAGATAAGATAAGATTTCGTTCGGATTTTTAACCCTGGAGGGTTAACTGCTCAGGATAACCCAAGAAAGTCAGTGCGTCATCGAGGACTGTCTAACTTATTTTTATTGGGGTCCTTAATCTTGTCCCCCAGGATGTGACCCACACCAGTCGACTAACACCCAGGTACCTATTTGCTGCTAGGTGAACAGGACAACAGGTGTAAGGAAACGTGTCGAAATGTTTCCACCCGCCGGGAATTAAACCCGGGCCCTCCATGTGTGAAGCGGGAGCTTTAGCCACCAGGCCACCGGACCACCTCTGCAAAAACAGTGATTATGTGTGAGTGAGGTGAAAGTGTTGAATGATGAAAGTATTTTCTTTTTGGGTCACCCTGCCTCGGTGGGAGACGGCCGACTTGTTAAAAAAAAAAAGGGGGGAAAAAACTTAGGTAATACCTTCTTTCAACAAACTGGCCGTATCCCACCAAGGACTTAGGTAATATATAATGTTTTATGTTGTTACAAGCTACTTTCTTATTGCAGTTTGTTAGTGCATGGTATCAATCTTTCGGAAGACGTTGCTGCAGCGGTTAATGCTCTGCGGTGCAAGTTAGGCTGGGCAACTAGTCAGTTACAAGCTACAACCAGCGTTCACGAAGCTCAAAATCTTTCCGAACTCATCACTGAAACCTGCAAAGCCATCACTGCACTTAGAGATCTTTAGAAATAGTTTGTGACCTGTGGTATTAAAAGGAGGTAAAAATTTAAATTATCTGGCTTTGGGAACCTCTGTAGCATTATTTACTGGACATTGGTGCCTTACCTATGTTTGCACTTTTCTCTTAACACACTGACTGTCTCCCAGTGAGGTAAGATGAAAAAAAAAGAGGAATGCACATTCAATCACTGTCTTGTAAGAAATATACTAAAACCACATTCTGGATGATCCTCCAGATTACGTCTTCACCCATCCTTCAGAGTGCAGGCACTGTTCTTCCCACCTCCAAGACTCGAGTCTGGCTAACTGGTTTACCCAGAATCTCTTCATAAATGTTGCCTTATCTCACTAATGTTTTTTCTCTTTACATCAATATTATTATAATCAAAATTAAGTGCTAAACCCACAAGAATCATACAGTGCTGCTCTTTACATCCACAGATTGGCAGTATCACAATTCCATTTCTGTCACATGCTTAAACTCAAGTACTGTACACATTTACCCCTAGTAGGTTTAGCGCTTGATTTTAATTATACAATAATTACATATTTACATGAAGGACAGACGAGATCTTGTACTTAGTGTCATTTGAATTGTGGCATCTACACACATCTGGGAAGACAGCTATTAAATGAGTGATGGTGAATGTGCTTCCCTTTTTTGATTCACCCTGCCTTGGTAGGAAATGATTGATGTGGTCAAAGAAAAAAAATTGGCACCATCTCAACACCATTCTATTACTGAGATGAACTCTAAAGGCAAAAGTTTATCATAATATAAGGCATTCCTCCAGTTAGCCGAACTCGAGTCCTGGAGGTGGGAAATACAGTGCCTGCACTCTGAAGTATGGGTGAGGATATGTTGCAGTTTCTGAACAGTAGTGTCAACACACCTCTGGCAAGACAGTGATGGAGTGAGTAATGATGAAAGTGTTTCTTCTTTTTTGGGTCACACTGCCTCAGTGGGAAACAGCCGATGTGTTAAAAAATAAAGCTTTTTCCCCCATCTGCAAGTGCATATTCATAGATTACATGTAAAATACTCAAGACTATCATATTGTTAATAGATGTTTCCTTCTTTGGGACACAACAAATTGGTGGGTAATGGCCGGTATGGTTATAAAAATGTCTCAAAAAACATTCTCTTGCTAAAGTAAATGCTCGATAATTATTATATTCTTGTGGAAGAGCAGTCTGGTTTGATCCAAGGAAGGAGAGGGTGGCTGTAATTCCTTGGCCCTTCCAAGGGGATGCTTTGTTGTCAGTGATAAGTTTTTGATCCAAGGATTTTGAGCTCTTTCCCCCTTGAAGCAAACTTTATTACTTATCATTCCTCAGGTGCTTTATGATCCCTGTAAAATACTGCAGTAATAAAATTCCTTGGATCAAGAGCCCTTCACTAGCTAAAGAATTCTAATTACTGGCTTGACATTGACTCAGAGTAAGGTTTAAGAGACTGAACAATATCCAAGCTGAATACATTACCTTTATTCTTTGCTTCCCTGTAACACGCTGTGGATGGCTTCCTGCAGGAAAAGTCATATATGGCAGTATTTTTTCCAAATAAAAATTCATATGAAGCATATAAACATTCAGGCATTAAAGCTGTAGTATATGACACTGAAGTGCCTGCCAAATTTAAATTGAACCAGTGAATTTTGATTAGGGATCCCATTTGTCTATTTTACTTAAACAGTTCCGGTTGTAGTTATTTTTTTTCAGGATTTGTAAATACAGTGGACCCCCGAGTTTCGTGATTAATCTGTTCCAGAGAGCCTGCCGAAAGTTGAAATTCACGAAACTCGAAACCATTTTCCCCATAAGAAATAATGGAAATAAAATTAATCCGTTCCAGACACCCAAAGATATTAAAATATTTTTTTTTTTCAAATTAAATAAAGATTTATATACTGAAATCAATGAGAAATCAAGTACATGCATATAAAAAATAATAATAACATTACACTTACCTTTACTGAAGACTTCTGGGTGGATGGAAGATGGAAGGAGGGGATAGGAGGAAGGTGTACACTATTGTTTGGAAGGAGAATCTCCTTCCATTAGGACTTTAGGTAGCAAGTCTTTATCTGGGGTTACTTCCCTTCTTCTTTTAATGCCACTGGGAACAACTTGAGAGTCACTGGAGCCCTGGCACACAAAATATCTGTCCAGAGAGGTCTTTTTCTGGCATTTCTTTAAGATTTTCCTGAAGTGGGACACAACACTGTCATTGTACATGTTGCAGATATGGCTTGTTTCAGCTTGGTCAGGGTGATACTTTTCAACAAAACTTTGCAACTCATTCCACATTCCACACATGTCCTTAATCACTAAAGAAGGAACCTCCTTCACTCTCTTTTCCTCCTCCTCTGAAGCAAGTTCCTCAGCTGTGGCCTGATGCTGTTCCAGTTGAAGCTCTTGCAGTTCGTCAGTGGTTAGCTCTTCCCTGTGGTCCTCCACCAACTTTTCCACATCCCTGTCACTCACCCCCAACCCCATGGACTTGCCCAATGCCACAACACCTTCCACAACAGGCAGAGGGTCGGCAGGGACAGGGTCTGCCTCAAACCCTTCAAAATCCCTCTGGATCGTGTTCCTCACTTTATTTATCAAAGGGCTTGCACTAGCTTTCCTTGGGTCCATGATGACTTATTTAGCAGTTTCAAGCACAAAAAACAATGGATTATTATGAAATGTATTGTATGAACCCACGGGGTTATGGTCACGTGTTGGTAAACAATGGCACACTGAGCGTGAATGGCGTGGGAGACTGGCACTGGACGGTCGCCGAAACACGAGTCGAATCACTTGAGGCCAAATTTGCCAAAAAAAACTCGCCGAAGGTCAAATTTCACGAAAGTCGAGGCTGCCGAAACTCGAGGGTCTACTGTATAAGATTACTGTAAACAAGTTTGTCATTTAAAACTCAGTGTGCAGTTTGTCTGCCTTAGTGCCATTACAATTGCACGAGTCAGAATTGCAGTACAAATGAAAATGAGTCTGCCTCGTGCTCAGCAGACAAAGGTTCAAGCCTCCACTACATCTTGTGCTGAATGATCCACATAGGTTTAGCACTTAACATGAATTAAATCATTATTAAATTGTACATAATGCCAAGAACTTATGAACACCCGTTATAATGATTTGCATTTACAAACAGAATCTTGTATTCTTTTAAAGCACTGGCCGTATCCCACCTAGGCAGGGTGGCCCAAGAACTAAGTTTCTCTTTTTAAATTTAGTAATACAGTGGACCCCCGGTTAACGATATTTTTTCACTCCAGAAGTATGTTCAGGTGCCAGTACTGACCGAATTTGTTCCCATAACAAATATTGTGAAGTAGATTAGTCCATTTCAGACCCCCAAACATACACGTACAAATGCACTTACATAATTGGTCACATTCGGAGGTAATCGTTATGCGGGGGTCCACTGTATATACAGAAGGAAGGGTGTTAATGTTGCAGTTTAAAAACTGTAGTGTAAAGCACCCTTCTGGCAAGACAGTGATGGAGTGAATGATGGTGAAAGTTTTTCTTTTTCGGGCCACCCTGCCTTGGTGGGAATCGGCCAGTGTGTTAATAATAACAAAAAAAAAAAAATACAGAAGGGGTTACAAGCCCCTTGCTCCCAGCATTTTAGTTACTTTTTACAATATGCATAGCTTATGGTGGAAGAATTCTTTTCTGCTTCCCCATGGAGAAAAATCTTATATATTTTCTCAATGCAGACATGTCGGTACAAACATGTAACACAATCACATTGAACTGTTATTAATATTAGCTTTGTGGTTATAAATGCCTTACTCACAAGTTGTTGTTTTTATTATAAATCATAACTAAGTGCTAAACCCATAAGGGTCCTCAATCATAAGTTAAATCAGTTAATGCAACTACTTCATAAGGTTGCATCCTCAGTACTTCAATATACTATAATTATATTAAGTAACTTTTTTGAGGCTCAAGTATTGTAATGTTTCATTTCAGAATCGACATTCAGTACTGTAATTCTGACTCGTAAAATTGTAATGGCATGATTGCAAACAAAAACAAATCGCTCAGCGAGTTCTTGATAAACACCAATTTGATTAGCATACTGAATTATTACAATCAAAATTTAAGTGCTAAACCCACAAGGGTCATCCAGTGCTGTTAGCATATTGTAATAAGTTACACATTACATTACAAATAGGATCAACAAGTGGATTTTTTCATGGTAGGTTGAAAATAAGTAGTTTTAACTTTTATTAATTTTTATTATGAATAGTCTAAATTCATAAACATTAATTTTATTACGAGGTCTAAATACACGAACTTTAAAAATTAGGAAAATCTGATAATTTTTTTATTCAGATGGTCACTTACATAGTATGGATGATTATGACGTTTGTTGTGCCTAATCAAATTTACAGCTACTATGAAAAATTCAGGAAAAATCATCCTGTTAATGAAAAAATATGTTTGTATACATGTGCACCTCAACTTTCAGGCTCCTTCATGTATAATTATACCTGGTAATGTTCTGCTAGTCATGGTAAATTTATCTTACCAAATGATACACTTACTCAAAATAAATAATACTGCCCAAACTGCATTTGCTTCCAATACTAGGATTTTTATTACAACTTTCCTGAATACTTTAAATTTAATGTTGGTATTTTCACTGTGAAATAAGGCTCAATGGTTATTGTAACCAGCAAAACATTGTTGGGACATTTTTCTAGAAAGTGATATTACAAAATGTAAAGCAAAATTATAGAAATAACAAAAACTGTATAATTACGCTTGGTTCCAGGGTAAGTATTTGCTGAAACCCCGAAATAGAGATATTTATGGTGTTGATAAATTACAAAATTAACTGGTCATATTCTACTACAGTTAACACTAAGCCCTCGATATTCTAGGCAGTCACGTGAAACCCATAAAAAGTGTACGTGCCCCAAAACACTTGTGTGGAAGCAAGGTTTGTGTTCTGCTCGATATCTGAAATATTTTCTGATAAAATAATTGACATGTGGATGCAAAACACATCCAGGACATGGGATCAAATTATATTCTCGCTGGGTTTGTACTCTTGCTTCCAGAGACTGGAAACCTTGCTACTGGAACTAACTTCACTCTCATAAACTTGGAACTAACTTCACTCTCATAAACTAACGTGTTTTACAAACTGTCACATAACAGAATTCATATTACACTGCATTATCACAAACTACATAAAAACATTTCTGCTGTATCTAATGATATAACAAACAAATATGCCACTGAATGCCTGTATAGTAGTTTTAAATAATATTTACCAGCATTTTTATTCCCGGATAAAAGTTTTGTTCTTCTTTTCTATGTACAGTACAGTAGCCCTCTATTTAAACATTTTAAAACTGTAGTGAATCTGGCTTCAAGATTTTAAGTCCAATTGTTTTACATATACAGTACTGTATATGTAAATGTATAACGTACTGAAATTTGTACACAGCTCTACCCTTAACCGTTATTACATTTTTAGCTTTTCCGACTTTGTTTCTACTTCACGTCCACCAATTTTTTTCATTCATGATCCCTGTGTGGTGTTTTGCAATTTGTACACCTGACTCGAGAAACCCTCCAGTCATTCAAAATTAGCTAAATTATTAATGTCAAAGCAATTCAAAATTTTCAGCTGCACTCTTGATTAGTTTGCTTTTGCAGCTTGACGTCGCAACAGGATATATATCTTCTCCTTTATCCAATCCTTATTGTAGGGTGCATAAGTGTTGGTACTTTTTTGGTACCTGCAATAGAGAAAACATGTGTGATATATATAGTATATCCAAACATTGAAATGAAACATTACTCATATTGTATAAACTATATCCTAATTAAAGTATATGCAGTAAACATATCTGGTATCCCTTTCGACATGCAATATATTTTTCGGTCTTGTCAGAAGGTAATTTAATAATTTAGGGCAATATACACTTACCTAGAGTGCATACCAAAATGTTTGTTTGTTAAAAAATGCAATAGCTCAGGATTCTTGACATGATAGATCATTTTCCTTACTTGTGTAATTTGCAAGCTATTGGATTATTAGGTGGTGTGGATAGAGCACCTTAAGAATCATGATCTACCATTACCAGTTTGGTACTAGAGCTTGGAAAACATGGGTTAAATTTTGTACCAAATTTATTATGAGCTCCATAGAGACCATCCACAACTGAGAGCTGGACAGGATGTATGCGAGACTTCCCTAAACCAAAAAAGTACATCTCAAACCTGCTAAAAAGCTTTGTTTCAATTTATTTTTCTAGAGATTTTGATGCAGTATTTACTGAACAATTTATGAAGACCAATTATTATTACACATGAGCCTCACTTTACAATGGTTTGACTTATGATTTTTGACTTTACAATGGTGTGACAGCGATGCATTTTAACATCATTAACACTATCGGGAACATCGCTACAGCATGGGAAATCATTTATTTACTTTTCAATATTGGTATTTAGTTACAATAATTATTTGTTTATTTACTTTATCAGTGACAGTTAATTATTTACTCATTTATATCGCATTCATATTCGACTTAAGATGTTTTCAACTTACGACGAGTGCATCAGAAAGTAAACCTGTATGGCTGCGGGAAGCTATCAGCATTGGGAAGTAGTGTAATGGGTGAACTTATGAGCTAATGAGAAAAGTCAAAGGTGACACAAATCAAGTTACAATTAGCAATAAGTCATTCGGAGTATCTGTGTTGAAGGTAGAGCATCCTGAAAGAAAAACAAGCTGGCAAGTGAGGATGCCAAGAGGCTGAACAACAGACTGGAAATGAATACTATGCGCTCTTTGAATACATTCTGATAGATCTATTTATCAATCATCAATAAGACCTTAAAGTTTCGTGGGGTCCTCTGTGCATTTGTTATGTGTAAGTCCCCTGTGGCCATTAAGTGCAAAAACAGTTTTTCATGCAAGACAGTGATGGAAAATGTCTACAAAGACTCTGTTTTTATCCTGGACCAATGACACTTCTACCAATTCCAAATACAGCCTCTCCTCACTTAGCGACATACTCGTTTACCGACTCCTTGGACTTATGATGGGCTCTCGGACCAGTATTTATACCTAAATAATGTATATTAGAGCTGATTTCCTCTGTTCTGTTTATTTCAATATACAGTACACTACTGTATAAACATTTAAAAATATACCAGAAATGTTATAAATGGTGCAAAGGTGACATTAAAACAATATCAAAGATGGTTGACACAAACCCACCACCATTATAGTATGCTCCTCACTTAGCAACCAATTCGTTTAACAATGTGATCTTAGGAACGGAACTCCGTCGTTAAGCGAGGAGAGGTTGTACTCGAGACAAAACTGAAAACAGTCTGAAAAGGGCAGATCCCTGGAAGAGATCAACAGACCCTGGACCCCAGAACATGCACAAATAACCCGTACATAGGAGAAAGAAGCTTATGACGACATTTCAGTCCCACCTGGACCACTGACTAGTCACACTGAAGAGGAGTCTGCAGTTTATTACCCTGAGCACCAAAATGACTACTAACCCAGGGAAGAGATGATGCATTTCCGCACAACAGATGCGTAAGGGATGGGCATCCATGCACGCCATATTTTAATGTAAACATTGTATGTACTGTGCACTTCCCTAACTCACTCTCTGTATGTCTACAATCTGTTTATTGCTATATCCAACCTCACTTTTTTCCCCTCTCCATTCTTGTAATGCAAATAATTGCATAACCAATAAAAGCAAATAAACTATAACATGAAGCTTGGGTGGTAAATGCAGCAGCGAGGAGACGGTTGGAGGCAGTGGAGATGTCCTGTTTAAGGGCAATGTGTGATGTAAATATTATGCAGAAAATTCGGAGTGTGGAAATTAGGAAAAGGTGTGGAGTTAATAAAAGTATTAGTCAGAGGGCAGAAGAGGGGTTGTTGAGGTGGTTTTGTCATTTAGAGAGAATGGATCAAAGTAGAATGACATGGAAAGCATATAAATCTATAGGGGAAGGAAGGCGGGGTAGGGGTCGTCCTCGAAAGGGTTGGAGAGAGGGGGTAAAGGAGGTTTTGTGGGCGAGGGGCTTGGACTTCCAGCAAGCGTGTGTGAGCATGTTAGATAGGAGTGAATGGAGACGAATGGTACTTGGGACCTGACGATCTGTTGGAGTGTGAGCAGGGTAATATTTAGTGAAGGGATTCAGGGAAACCGGTTATTTTCATATAGTCGGACTTGAGTCCTGGAAATGGGAAGTACAATGCCTGCACTTTAAAGGAGGGGTTTGGGATATTGGCAGTTTGGAGGGATATGTTGTGTATCTTTATATGTGTATGCTTCTAAACTGTTGTATTCTGAGCACCTCTGCAAAAACAGTGATAATGTGCGAGTGTGGTGAAAGTGTTGAATGATGATGAAAATATTTTCTTTTTGGGGATTTTCTTTCTTTTTTGGGTCACCCTGCCTCGGTGGGAGACGGCCGACTTGTTGAAAAAAAAAAAAATGAAGAACGGCATTGTAGATATTACACGCAAAATCCTAAATAGGAAGTAAGAAATTTTTTGATAAAATATTTTACTTTTGTAACTTTTTTTTTTATGCGTATCTGTACTGAGCACCTAATACATGATAATGTAAACGTGTTATCAGGCATTTTAGACATTCAACACTGAAAAAAACTTTTCCTTTCTCCAGCTATTTTCGTTTACTGTCCATAAAAATAGAAGTGTTATAAGAAGAGTAGAGTATATGGAGAGTAAAAGAAAGGTGAAGAGAGTGGTGAGAGAGTGCAAAAGGAGAGCAGATGAAAGAGTGGGAGAGGCACTGTCAAGAAATTTTAATGAAAATAAGAAAAAATTTTGGAGTGAGTTAAACAAGTTAAGAAAGCCTAGGGAACAAATGGATTTGTCAGTTAAAAACAGAGTAGGGGAGTTAGTAGATGAGGAGAGGGAGGTATTAGGTAGATGGCAAGAATATTTTGAGGAACTTTTAAATGTTGAGGAAGAAAGGGAGGCGGTAATTTCATGCACTGGACAGGGAGGTATATACCATCTTTTAGGAGTGAAGAACAGGATGCGAGTGTGGGGGAGGTACGTGAGGCATTACGTAAAATGAAAGGAGGTAAAGCAGCTGGAACTGATGGGATCATGACAGAAATGTTAAAAGCAGGGGGGATATACTGTTGGAGTGCTTGGTATTTTTGTTTAATAAATGCATGAAAGAGGGGAAGGTACCTAGAGATTGGAAGAGAGCATGTATAGTCCCTTTATATAAAGGGAAGGGGGACAAAAGAGATTGTAAAAATTATAGAGTAATAAGTTTACTGAGTATACCAGGAAAAGTGTACGGTAAGGTGTTGCAACCCCTGAATGGGTTACAATGATTATTATGTATATATGTAATGTATATTACCTTTTCATTTAATTTTATATTGCTTATATTTGCGATAATAGCTAAATCGTAAATGTATGACTTTATATTATTATTTGACTGTTATATTCTTATTTAGCTTATGTTGTTAGGATGTATATAAAATGTGCTCAGTTAGGCTTGATTGTCAAACTACTGTAATTATCGCTTGTCGCTCGTTATACTGCCGGCTTCTGAGCTGCAGTTGTCCACGTAGCTATCACGTGATCGAGGGGGGGGTGTCCTCACCTCTCGTGAAGTAGTCAGTCTGCTGGAGACTCGCTTGCTGGTTGGACAGATTGTCTGTCTCATTATTCTTGTTAGTTCTGTAGAACTCTGTTCTCAGAACATTGTATAGACTTTGTGATTTTCGACGTTGTACTGAGGTTGTGTGTCACACAGACACTCTGAGTATCTCAGGTCCTTAGCTATAGCTTCTGACCTAATTTTGTACTGGTTCCTGTGTATTGTCACAGTCAGAGTTTTCCTATGCTGAACGAAGATTCAGTATTATGGGAGTTTTGTAACTTTTGTGGAGGATCTGCTGATGGTCCCTACTTAGTGTCGTTATATTATTTCCCAGTTCCTGATTCTGTGTCGCTGTCGCTTGATATTGCATTGCTATTGGGCTTAGCATTCTTTGTTGTTCAAGCAGACTGTTCGGTTGCCAGTCGTCAAGAAGTTAGTTTTTTGAGGACTTTGTCAGTCACTTGTTTAAGTCTTATTCGAGTCTTGAGACATAGCTAACTACTTAAGAGCACTTTTACGCATACACACACTTGTACATATTTGTAATATCTTATTAAATGTTAATGTACCTGACGGTACTTAAGAATTATAAATGTGATATGTGCTTTCAGCACAATAATATTGAACTCGAGAGATTGATTTTATTTTGATTGCTGTAATTAATTTGATTTGATAATATACCTCTAGACAACTTACTACTTAATAAATTTATTAAATTTTAATTTCTCTAGTTAGTAGCCTACCAGTTGTAATCCTAAAGCACTATTGAACCATACTGAATTTCGATGGATAATTGGTCAAGGATACTGACTACTTGTTACGAAAACCCAGTAACAGGCTGGATGCTAGAAGGGCAGTCCTTTCTAGTATTCACTGGAGATCTCTAAGCTTTTAGAATCGCGTTTTTTGTAACATAAGGTTATTATTGAAAGAATTAGAGGTAAGACAGAATGTAGAATTGCGGATAAGCAAGGACGTTTTAGAGTGGGTAGGGGATGTATAGATCAAGTGTTTACATTGAGGCATATATGTGAACAGTATTTAGTTAAAGGTAGGGAAGTTTTTATTGCATTTATGGATTTAGAAAAGGCATATGATAGAGTGGATATGGGAGCAATGTGGCAGATGTTGCAAGTATATGGAATAGGTGGTAAGTTACTAAATGCTGTAAAGAGTTTTTATGAGGATAGTGAGGCTCAGGTTAGGGTGTGTAGAAGAGAGGGAGACTACTTCCCGGTAAAAGTAGGTCTTAGACAGGGATGTGTAATGTCACCATGGTTGTTTAATATATTTATAGATGGGGTTGTAAAAGAAGTAAATGCTAGGGTGTTCGGGAGAGGGGTGGGAAATTATGGGGAATCAAATACAAAATGGGAGTTGACACAGTTGCTTTTTGCTGATGATACTATGCTTAAGGGAGATTCTAAAGAAAAATTGCAAAGGATAGTGGACTAGTTTGGGAGTGTATGTAAAGGTAGAAAGTTGAAAGTGAACACAGAAAAGAGTTAGGTGATGAGGGTATCAAATGATTTAGATAAAGAAAAATTGGTTATCAAATTGGGAAGGAGTAGTATGGAAGAAGTAAATGTTTTCAGATACTTGGGAGTTGACGTGTCGGCGGATGGATTTATGAAGGATGAGGTTAATCATAGAATTGATGAGGGAAAAAATGTGAGTGGTGTGTTGAGGTATATGTGGAGACAAAAAACATTATCTATGGAGGAAAAGAAGGGAATGTATGAAAGTATAGTAGTACCAACACTCTTATATGGGTGTGAAGCTTGGGTTGTGAATGCAGCAGCGAGGAGGCGGTTGGAGGCAGTGGAGATGTCCTGTCTAAGGGCAATGTGTGGTGTAAATATTATGCAGAAAATTCGGAGTGTGGAAATTAGGAGAAGGTGTGGAGTTAATAAAAGTATTAGTCAGAGGGCTGAAGAGGGTTTGTTGAGGTGGTTTGGTCATTTAGAGAGACTGGATCAAAGTAGAATGACATGGAGAACATTTAAATCTGTAGGAGAAGGAAGGCAGGGTAGGAGTCGTTCTCGAAAAGGTTGGAAGGAAGGGGTAAGAGAGGTTTTGTGGGCGAGGGGCTTGGACTTCCAGCAGGCGTGCGTGAGTGTATTCGATAGGAGTGAATGGAGACAAATGGTATATGGGACCTGACGATCTGTTGGAGTGTGAGCAGGGTAATATTTAGTGAAGGGATTCAGGGAAACCGGTTATTTTTATATAGCCGGACTCGAGTCCTGGAAATGGGAAGTACAATGCCTGCACACTAAAGGAGGGGTTTGGGATATTGACAGTTTGGAGGGATATGTTGTGCATCTTTATACGTATATGCTTCTAAACTGTTGTGTTCTGAGCACCTCTGCAAAAACAGTGATTATGTGCGAGTGAGGTGAGAGAGTTGAATGATGATAAAAGTATTTTCTTTTTGGGGATTTTCTTTCTTTTTGGGTCACCCTGCCTCGGTGGGAGACGGCCGACTTGTAAAAAAAAAAAGGACCCTCTGTAATTGATAAAGCCCTTAGTGGATAATAAATATAAATATCTTTCCACTACCTTAATGGTAGCTTTCACTTCTTTTATCACTTTCACCCATTTCCAGGAAATTATTAAAGATGTTTACATCGTGTTACTCGTAGAATTGGTGAACAGTACAGTTATATTTTTTTTTTTGTATTATCACACTGGCCGATTCCCACCAAGGCAGGGTGGCCCGAAAAAGAAAAACTTTCACCATCATTCACTCCATCACTGTCTTGCCAGAAGGGTGCTTTACACTACAGTTTTTAAACTGCAACATTAACACCCCTCCTTCAGAGTGCAGGCACTGTACTTCCCATCTCCAGGACTCAAGTCCGGCCTGCCGGTTTCCCTGAACCCCTTCATAAATGTTACTTTGCTCACACTCCAACAGCACGTCAATTAGTAAAAACCACTTGTCTCCATTCACTCCTATCAAACACGCTCACGCATGCCTGCTGGAAGTCCAAGCCCCTCGAACACAAAACCTCCTTTACCCCCTCCCTCCAACCTTTCCTAGGCCGACCCCTACCCCGCCTTCCTTCCACTACAGACTGATACACTCTTGAAGTCACTCTGTTTCGCTCCATTCTCTCTACATGTCCGAACCACCTCAACAACCCTTCCTCAGCCCTCTGGACAACAGTTTTGGTAATCCCGCACCTCCTCCTAACTTCCAAACTACGAATTCTCTGCATTATATTCACACCACACATTGCCCTCAGACATGACATCTCCACTGCTTCCAGCCTTCTCCTCGCTGCAACATTTATCACCCATGCTTCACACCCATATAAGAGCGTTGGTAAAACTATACTCTCATACATTCCCCTCTTTGCCTCCAAGGACAAAGTTCTTTGTCTCCACAGACTTCCTAAGTGCACCACTCACCCTTTTCCCCTCATCAATTCTATGATTCACCTCATCTTTCATAGACCCATCCGCTGACACGTCCACTCCCAAATATCTGAATACATTCACCTCCTCCATACTCTCTCCCTCCAATCTGATATCCAATCTTTCATCACCTAATCTTTTTGTTATCCTCATAACCTTACTCTTTCCTGTATTCACATTTAATTTTCTTCTTTTGCACACCCTACCAAATTCATCCACCAATCTCTGCAACTTCTCTTCAGAATCTCCCAAGAGCACAGTGTCATCAGCAAAGAGCAACTGTGACAACTCCCACTTTGTGTGTGATTCTTTATCTTTTAACTCCACACCTCTTTCCAAGACCCTCACATTTACTTCTCTTACAACCCCATCTATAAATATATTAAACAACCACGGTGACATCACACATCCTTGTCTAAGGCCTACTTTTACTGGGAAATAATTTCCCTCTTTCCTACATACTCTAACTTGAGCCTCACTATCCTCGTAAAAACTCTTCACTGCTTTCAGTAACCTACCTCCTACACCATACACTTGCAACATCTGCCACATTGCCCCCCTATCCACCCTGTCATACGCCTTTTCCAAATCCATAAATGCCACAAAGACCTCTTTAGCCTTATCTAAATACTGTTCACTTATATGTATCACTGTAAACACCTGGTCCACACACCCCCTACCTTTCCTAAAGCCTCCTTGTTCATCTGCTATCCTATTCTCCGTCTTATTCTTAATTCTTTCAATAATAACTCTACCATACACTTTACCAGGTATACTCAACAGACTTATCCCCCTATAATTTTTGCACTCTCTTTTGTCCCCTTTGCCTTTATACAAAGGAACTATGCATGCTCTCTGCCAATCCCTAGGTACCTTACCCTCTTCCATACATTTATTAAATAATTGCACCAACACTCCAAAACTATATCCCCACCTGCTTTTAACATTTCTATCTTTATCCCATCAATCCCAGCTGCCTTACCCCCTTTCATTTTACCTACTGCCTCACGAACTTCCTCCACACTCACAACTGGCTCTTCCTCACTCCTACAAGATGTTATTCCTCCTTGCCCTATACACGAAATCACAGCTTCCCTATCTTCATCAACATTTAACAATTCCTCAAAATATTCCCTCCATCTTCCCAATACCTCTAACTCTCCATTTAATAACTCTCCTCTCCTATTTTTAACTGACAAATCCATTTGTTCTCTAGGCTTCCTTAACTTGTTAATCTCACTCCAAAACTTTTTCTTATTTTCAACAAAATTTGTTGATAACATCTCACCCACTCTCTCATTTACAGTTGGGCCACCTAATTCATGGGGAGTTAAGCTCCTATAGGTCCCACAAGTCTAATATCTGTGAATATAAAATTATGTTTTCCTCAATTTTATTTCAAGCAATCATATCTTTAAATACCAGTAATGTTCAAATGTGGTTAATACTGACATTCATAAGAAGAAAATCTAGGGGAGAGAGACCTGGAAAAGTCAATGAATACTGAACAAAATCCTAAGGTGGGTTTTAAATTTATGGGGCTGTGCAACAAATTCCAAAGAAATGATCATGATAAATCCTCTAAAACCAAATGAATTTGGTTTGCAGGCCCATCAGTAAAAATTTTTGAATATGAAATTCAATGAGTTAGGAACCCTGCAACATTCTGGGTCCAAAGGCACAACATATAAACAGTGGACAAACTAATACATCTCATCAGAATATACTAACACAAGGCAGGAGAGGTCAGCTAGTTGATCGATAAAATCGAAGAGTTGAGATATGTCGTAGGTGATGCTTGGTGTATTTGGGTTCATCCGCTTGAGGTGCTCCTCATAGATCTTGCACACACCTGCTTAGGAGTTGCGGACAATAATATATTGTTAATATATTATAAAGACATTGTCATATGCTAAATAGTAATTTATTAAAATCTGCCATTAATTTTTAAGTCATATCTGGCATAAATTATGCAATGTGAATAATTATAATCTGTTGACTGGATAACAACCATTTCACAAGAACAGTTCACCACAAGACATAAGGTCTTTTAAAACAATAACAAAATACTGTGACTGGAACACTCCACAAATAACCCACATTATTTTAGTCAGTTGTGAATCATTATTAAGATTTGATAATAATCAAGGGTGGACCAAAATGTTATCTGAAGTTTCCACAAGATAGTGAGTTACAGTAAAACCTCAATATAATGGACTTTGGAAATACTGACCTAGATCCACTGGATCAAATGATTCAGAAACAATGGAGAGTCCAATGCTACAGAAATATCTGTTACTGTTACTATCATATCAAAACAATTTCTCCTCACTACAATTAACATTATCGGCCAACTGTTCTCCCCTATTAACTTGTCATATTGAGAGTTTACTGAAATGGAGTTATATTGTATTGATTCTCACATGATGAGTTCGGCTTACACTATACTTTATTATATGCTTAAAATCTAAATGGTAAATCTAAAACTTTACATCTGATTGATTCCATGAGTTTCTCTATGATTGGATGAGACCAGCATCAAGCTACCTTTCCTTGAAGAGCTGCTATTTTTGAGGCCGAGATGAGTTTTGCATAAAATTCATAGTTTTTAACACCAATGACGAAACAAAATTAAATCAAATATATTCATGAATTTACGTACTGACAAATATTGAAGTGGAAGAGACTATCAAGAAAAAGGTGCAATATCTTTAAACAATTCCATCTGACAGAAGTGGAAAAAGGTTTGCAAATAAACAATATTACAGTACTACTACACTGATATGTACACAGTACTGTACTGTGGACACATCTCCAGTTTACATACAAACCAAGATACATACATCCACCCATACACAAAGGGCACTTAGAAACTGATTAAATCTTTAAAACTGCTGACCCTTATGGGTTTAGCACTTGGTTATGATAATCTGAAGCTACTGAGCTGCAGTACGAACATGTGAAACAAAATTCTTTTGTGTGAAAATCCAGGAATGCACCTCGTATGTAAACTGGGGAAGTTCCACAAAATGTATTTAGAAGCAAACGTTTTAATAACATCTGAATTCTGAATACTAAGGGACTTTACAGCCCAGGATGATCAACCTACCTTCCATGCATTCGTTCACACTTTCATAATCGGAAAACGTTCTCGTTTCTGGTTTTGGTCCCGGCTGCACTAATAAAATTGTATGAGCCTGAAAAACAATGTTCAATTATAATCTACATGTAAACAGTACTAGCCCTTGTGGTTTAGCACTTCTTTATGATTATAATAATAATAATAATGTAAACAGTATAAAACAAAATTGGATATTCTGACGACACAGAACAGAGCTTAAAGTTACACACAGATAACATTCCAGTACAGTACTCTAATCTGATAAAGTGTAAAACTATGACAAAGATGGTAAAGGATATAACCTTGTGTGAATACAATTTCTTAAGATTCAAAAACTCGCATAAAATTTTCTGCAAAACTGATTAACATAGATGTGAAACTGAATTCCTTCACAAAGCACAAAATCTTATAAAAACCTCTTGACAAGAAACATACCAGGAAAGAAGACAAGATAGGCATAACCTCCAAAGAATTATTAAAATATATTCCTCAAAATTTACCAATCTAATTACAGCCCATGTAAATAGCTATTTTTCTTAAACAAAGGAATATAATCAAAATAATAATAATAAAATTACACACTAAACCCATATAAGTCGAGGGAGAAAATAAGGACCTGTTAAATTCTCAAGCATATCACTAAATACTGTACATAGATTGTACTAGACAGTGAGGGAAAAACTGATGAACTCGCCAAATATCACTTTGTAGGCAGTTTTTGTAAAACCTTTGCAACAAAAAAAAAAAGAGAGATTCACCAAATGCCCTTTTAAGATCACCTACAAATGTTTGCAACACTCCTGCAATAATATCTCAGTAACCAACTATACAATACACAAATAACTCATAGGAGAAAGACTTTATGACGATGTTTTGGACCATTAACTGAAACACTGTTATGAAGTTTCTTTTCATGTGCAGGTTATTTGTGTATTGTTCCAGTCACTGTATTATGCCTTTGTGTTCTTAACTATACAATTTTCATCAAACTGGCATCATTTTAAAGACAGATGAACATTTTTGTGCAGAAAATTAAATTTTCGCTCACTGCAGATTTCATTGGTTTTTCTTCTCTGTGCTTCGTATGTTCTAAATTATTATAAATTATAGGGAAGCACCAACTGTCCCGTGGCCCGGTAGACAATGCTCTTGCCTCACACAATGAGTATCTGTGGTTCAATCCCCGGAAAGGGTGAAAGCACTGGGCATGTTTCCTTGCACCTACTGTTCCCGTTCACCTAGCAAGTAGGTACCTGGGTGTTAGTCGTCTGGCGTGGGTCACATCCTGCTGACAAGCTTGAAGGACCCCGATGGAAATAAGATACAGTCCCTCAATGATGCATTACCCTTCTTGGGTTGCTAACCCTCAGGGTTAAAAATCCAAACAAAATTTTATCTCTTAACCCATTGGGGTCATACTACTTTGGGAATGGAAGGTAATCCTGATCCAAGGAAAGGGAGAGTATCTCCAATTCCTTGGATCAAGAGCCCCTCACCAGCCTTAAAATGCATAAGTGTCAAGAAAAGAACCTTATCATCACAATTACCATCTCCAATCATTCCTAAAATAAACTTCATAATACAGGAGATGCAGTAAATAATGAAGCAAACAACCAAAATGAAACAAACCTTCAATTTACTGAACTTCAAAAATACAGGACACAATCCATTGGGTCAACTGATCTGGCCCGGTCTGTAACCGGACCGCAGTCCAGTCACAGACTGGGCTGCAGGGCACTGACCACCAAATCTCTCTCCAGATATACAGAAAAAAAAATCTTATCTCTATCCACCACAATCACCATTACTGTCTGTTCACTCCTGCTTCGATCAAGGGTTAACTGTACACCATCACCATAGCCAACAAAGCCACTGCTGCACCTCATCAGACTAGTATGGGCCATAGTCAGTTTTTTTGTCAAGGTGTAGGCTGAAGAATACATCTTATTTCTGATGGTGCTAACCTTCCTTTCATCAGATCAAACTTGATAACTACCCATATTCCCAGGTGTCTAATAACTTATACAGCTTTAGCACTTTCCTAATAATATAATATACTCTTGTTCACTGGCCAACAATGATTTCAGCTCAAGTTTAAAAACACGATTTCCAACTAGTCCAGGTAATTTTGGAATGCTGAATTCCAATTTGAACTTAAGTTTTACTTGAACATGTAGAATTTCTGTGAAACAGAACCCCCACAGTCAAGATGATCAGTTTGATGGCCGACTACTGCTGGACGCTTGTGCGGGAGAGCAATATTAACAGAGCGAAAAAGCATGATAAGCGTGGTGTAAATATTTTTGTGCGTCTGGAAAATCCCGTTAAGTTATCCAAATACGTATTCTGAATTTACATTAAGAAAGATTAGTTTTTGTCACTGCATGCACCATCTGTACAATGCATAATAAATAGCTATGATTGTTAGGTAACATGCATTACATGGTTCTTCAACCTTAAACTGACAAAATATAGAATTGTCAAATTAAAAAAAAAAAATTAACTTACATGATAGAAACTACACAAACACATCAAAGTTAGTTTAAAACAACTTTGTTTCTGAACGGGATAAAAAAAAGTCCAATTTTGTTGGCTAGCATAGACACTGATTTACACAAATATCCCTTATCCAGATATTTGTGTGGTTATTTTTTTTTTTCAAATATTTCATATTATTTTACTACTGTATAATTGTGGAGAACAAGCACTAAACTGCAGAAATCACATAGTGCCCAAGAAGTGTGAGGTAAGCAGACTATCCAAGGAACAGGGAAACAAGTCTGGTTACATTGCTTCTCACCAGCAATGAGACACCTCCCTTGAATTAACCCTTTGACTGTCGCAACCCCCTCCTGGTGTCGCAAAATTTAAAAAAAAAAAAAATTATTTTTTCTTATGAAATGATAGAGAATCTTTTCCCGATTGTAATGACACCAAAAAAATGAAATTTGATGGAAAACTGATGGAATTATGCTCTCGCAAAGTTAGCGACCTCAGCGCTGTTTACAAATCGGCGATTTCGCCCACTTTGAGCCCTATTTTCGGCTAATTCCATTGTTCCAGTCGCCCAAACTCATAGCTATTTCTTTAGAAATTCATTTTTTCTATCGATTGAGTACAAGAAACTGCCCATTTACCGATTTCAACTACCTAATAATGTGGTCAGAAATTTGCAATTTGGCCAATTTCACGAAAAATAAAAAATATGACAATTTCAAAATAAGGTCCAGAATGAACAATGCAGACATTCCTGGCTCTAAAATAACATCTTCTTTGCTCATCAGTCATGTCTCCAGGCCCCTCTGATATTACTCTTGCTTTCTATTTTGAATTTTTATTCAAACAAAAAATAGAAGACTTACTATTATGCAGACTACTGCAATACTGTAATAATTGTATAAATAACATCACCCCATTCATGACTGCATATTAGAATGGCTAGTTGGACATTTATTGGACAATGGCATCATTTGTTTACTTTTGAACATTGGCAAAAATCAAACATTTCCCCTACTTTGAGCTCCATTTCTAGGTTCTTTTTATAGTAAAATCAATCAAAATCACCTCTATTTCTATAATATGTTTTCCATTCTATCAAATGAGACCAAGAAAACGAGAATACAACCATAAATACTATACAAAAATAGACCACAAAGTCGGCATTTTAATTAAAAAAAACGGTCGGAGTTTTTTTTTTCTCATTATGCACTGCGTGCTCCAGGATTTTTTTTATATGGTGCACACTGACCACACAGACCCATTCTCTCACATGTGGGCCTACCAGCTTTCTCCTGCTTGATTTGAAGCCGCTAGAATTTGAGTATATATACGTCAAACACGGTACCTCGTAAGACGTATATATACGGCCGCAACAGTCAAAGGGTTAATATTTTGCGTTAGATCCCTTCTATGTTGAGTATGTATTATCATAGGTGTGAATACCGTTGTAAATTTAGGCTGCATTCACTATATTATAAACAAGTTTGAGGTGGCAAATGTTGCATCTGCAAAAGGCATTGCTTGGAGTTGCTGGGATACATTTAGGTCAATGATATTATTATTATAATCAAAAAGAAGAGCTAAGCCACAAGGGCTATATAGCGGTCAATGATATAAAGAAGAAATATAAGTAAACCTAAACCATCACCTTGTGGTACCCAAACATTTCTGGGTAGAATTAAACCATACCCCCTGGGTAGAATTACCAAAGAAATGTCATTCCTGGTAACATCTTGGTATCTGTCAGTGAGGTAAAACACTATGATAAAATAATTTAAGGCTTCTGAGCACGATAGTGCTCTACTTTATTACTGTTGTGATCATCAAAACGTGTTCGTCAATCAAACCAAAAAAAAAAAATAGTCCTCATCTTTTAATGGCATCAATGCCAAACTGACATGGCTTTAATGTGTTTTTTTCATTAATGGGAGCTGGGAATGTTATAGTTTTATAAATTTATTGAATTATTATTTATTATTATCAGGACGAAGCACTAAACCCATACAGATTTGCTGCACGTGGGGAATGGCAAGACACTGAGTTCAACCCAAAGGGAGGATAAATCTACCTCCTTGGATCAAGAGCCCTCACAAGCATCAGGAAACCTCCCCTTATTTAAGTTGCAGTAACTGGTGCCAGCACTTACTGCAGACAATCTTCCTTCAATATAAAAGCAAAGCATTTCATTTTTTGACCTCTTTCAATATGAAAGTAATGCATTTCATTTTCTTCATCAATTTTAGTAGCAAGTAAACACTGAGAGGAGAGGATGAACGCAGATACTTGGCAATTAGGGTAGTTGCTAATTCTGCTAATTTTCTGACACGAGCCTAAGTGGTTGGGACTTTTTTTGACTAAATTTTACCATGACTCATTATATCAATGGGGAAGTTCTAAACCTGTAGGGGTTATACTGCAAAACAGGAAGTAGCTCCATCTTCTTGGATCAAAAGCCCTTCACCAGGCCTCAAAGCACCCTTCCTGAAGGGACTCGTATATGTTTAGTAGCAGACATGGAATTATTTTTCTTGTCAGGATTAAAATTAACATTTTTTCATTTTATTCAGTCTTGGGATTTAATAATTTAGTTTTTTATCCAATTCTGTTTCAGTAAATATATTAGTTCTTTTAGTTTCTAAATTAAATTGCCAGGTGCTAAGGAATAACACGGTTCACTGTTGGTTTTCCCACTAAGTTGCCGTTAATCATATTAGCATTCCTGAGGTAATGTTGCTCATTAAGTAACGATCCTTAACTAAGCCCAAGTGGTTAACTAAGCCCAAGTGGTCGGAGGGTATTTACACAGTTCAGCTTAGTCTGTCATTATTCCAGTATATTGTGAATTAACTTGGCTTCTCTCTACTCTTTTCACCACAATGGGCAGAAATATCCTTTCTCTAAGCAGGAGAGAATGCATGTATAGTTATTAGGTCCCCAAGTGTTTTAAGGATATGTTGCTAACCCATTTTGTAAATATTTTCCTATGCTATAGATTAAAAAGTACAATAACCTTGAATACAAACTTTAATTCCGATACGAGCTGGTATTCTGGGGGTCACTTGCCCCTCTCTTAGGGCCACTGGCCTGGTGGGTGAACCATGATGGAAGTCGGTAGAGCGCCCAACACTTCGGTGGTAGGGTTCATACGACCTTCGCTCAGTGTTGGGCCACTTGTTGTTCACAATCTACAGTATATAAACAACCTAAACAAGGGAGCAGACAGCTAACGACACGAGTAGACTACGTACTTAAATTTCGAGACACCAGCGAGCTACATTATGATATAAGTTTATGCAGTTTAATGTAGACAAAAATGTATGTCTTAATGATTCATGAAATCATAACATATTTGCAAACAAACCATGGAACAGGTGGCATAAGCCATTGGGCCAGATGGCCCTGTAGCTTACACACTGGTCTGGAATTTTACGATTCACTCATCATGGGTTCTAACACCACTTGTTCTGTGGTCTGTAAGTCTTAATTAATGTTGGGGTTTGGAACTAATTATGCCACATATAACTATACATAAACTAAATCAAACAGGTTGCAAACAAAGGTGTTTTGTTAACAGAAATCTGAAGTGAAGGCAGCAGTGTATTCGTGTTCTTAATCTAATTTACTATGCACTTAGTTTCATAGTAAGAAGTATTATAAGTAACAAGTTCCAAGGTTACAGTAACTCTATGCATCATTAGATTATGTGACACAGTGAGCATCTCCATATTACAGAATACACACAAAGCACTGGGAAACATACAGAAAAGATGGGAATCCTGTTTTAGGAATCGTTCTTAAGAAAACATAGACCAAGAGAACTGAACCTACACATTATTATTATTAATACATTCATTGTCAAGTACTAAATTAACAGGAGTCATACTGCCTGAAGGAATGGGAAATAATCAGGTTTGATTGAAAGGAAAGGGAGGGTGGGTCCAATTCCTGGGATCAAGAGCCCCTTACTAGCATCACAGCACCTCCCTTGAAGGGGAACTTATACATAAGAATGCAAGAAGAGAGGAGCACTGCAGTAGGTCCTACTGGCCCATGCAAAGCAAATTCTATCCACATCCAAACATTCCCTCTATACTCTTCCTCAAGTTCTAGGTTCAGTGCTATTAATTTTCCTTATGTCCTGATACAAAGGATAAACTGTCATGATTCTTCCTATGTTTTCCAGTACAATTATGTTTATTCTGTACTATAGAGACGAGAACTGTGCCACAATCTAATAAAGTCTTATTACTGACAAATAGTTATAGTACAGTACTGTATAACTTTGACACTTCTGTTACTTTTAATTCTGGTTAGAAACCCAAAGTATTAACTTTATTTCAAGTGTACCAGCTGTGACTGGCTTCAGATTTCTACTAACAAGTCTAAGTGCACTATTATTTAGTTTAAATTTACGAAAGTAACCATGGTTTTCCTCCCCAAGGATAGGCCATTAATTTATCCATAATGAACTGCACCTGCCACTTCTCCACTCACAATAATCTAGTCAAATCTTTCGGAAATTTCTCCTGGTTTCTCCTTGGAATTTATCAGCTGGCCTATTTTTTTGTCAGCAAACTTACATATGCCACCATTTATTCCCTCATCTAGGTTGTTTGTATAAATAGTGAGCAAACACTGAACAGTGTGGAACACCACTTGTCAATTGCTTTCTCCCTATTTATGCAAACTATCAGTCAGCCATGGCCTTCTCAGATAGAATATCTCCAATACTGTGTGATAGTTTATTTTATTAATTTCTTGTGTGGTACTATACCTATCAAAAGTCCCTACTGAAGTCCAAATATATGTCTTCATAATTGTTTACAACCTCAAATACCCTAGTACGTACAAAAGAAGTACGTACATTGTTGACCAAGAACAACTTGTGAAACTGTTAAGATCAACTTAAGTTCATTAAGTTAGCTTTGAACTGCACATTTTATTAATGATTCCAATAATTTAGCCACTACTGAGGGCAGGGTTAGAGGGCTATAATCTTAAATTAGGAACGTATCTCCCATTTTATAAATAAATATTACATTGTCGTCTTCCACATCTCCATCACAATGACAGAACCTTTGTGTGGCATGCAAAGAGTACATAACCTTTATTCGGCGCATGTACACTTATTGTACATGCCTTATTGTACAGATTAGCTAATGAATTTAATCATGACTTATTGTACAGATTAGCTAATGAATTTAATCATGACTTATGTATTTAAGAACTATGTAACAAGTGACTGCAATCCATCATCATTTATCCTCAGATTAACTACGTAGTAACTCTTACGCTCCACGATTTTATTTTTTCTTTAGTTAAGAGCTATGACAGCTTGTGCAAAACATGCAATACAAATTATTGGCGAGCTACTGTATTCACAAATACTATACCCAGAAACCGTATTTCTCTCAACCTCTCAGTAACCAGGATTGAAACACTATATCAGGGCAGAAAATAAGCTTAACAAGTGTTCCCAAGCAGCCAAGCTGGACCTTGTACTGAAAACTAGAGCACTGTAAGACAATATTCCTCATAATGGTCAATGACTGGCTTCCACACTCCACCATGGCTGGAATGTGTGTAAAATCACTGGTAATGTTCAAAATGGCATGCATCTCTTTTTCATTATCAAAGAACTGTGCTAAGTTAGATTAAGCAGGCAATCCACAGCATGGGAAAAAGGAACTGGTAATTACCCATTTGTAGCTACAGGAGCAGAGCTATGCTCACCTAGGGTATACCTGGAGAGGGTTTCAAGGATCAACACACCCACGGCCCAGTGACCAGACCTCATGATGGATCAGTGCTTGATCAACCAGGCTGTCACTGCTGGCTGTTAGTAAACCAATGTACAAACCACAGCTTCATTAATCTTCATTAATCATACAATTTTCTAAAAATTCCAACAACCGAGGTATAATACTTAATATCTCTAAGATTATTCCATTCTTTCATCACTATTAATAGTGGGGATCCCTCAGTGGAGTCTAAGATCCCTCATTATAATACTTGTTTCAATAAACACAATGGCGAGGTCTGCTCAGCAAGGTCCTGAAGACCTCTCATTATACCGGGCATAGCTCAGAAGAAAGGTGGCAACCCATATGACAGTCCTAGCCTGGCTAGGGGTGTAGTTTATATGTCATATGCTAGGTGGACATACGATTGGGCCTCCACCCACACGGCTTTAGCGCTTCATATCAAAATAAATATTTATATGTATGTATGTATAGTATTGTAACCACAAATGAGTGGTATTTAATCAATAACAACACGGGTTTGACCCCCGGCTAGTCTGTGTTGTTATTCGTATGTATGTATGTAAAGATAAATTTCCCAGTATTCCTCTGGTTTCATTTTTCTTAATTTACATTTGTGGGTATCCCCCCCCTCTCAAACAAAAAAAAAAAAAAAAAAAAAAAAAAAAAAAAAAAAAAAGAGGGATCATGGCACTATTATCCAGGCCAGAGCAAGATGTCCACATTCTACCATGGCTGGAATGTGTGTAAAACCACTGGAAATAGTTGTTCAAAATAGCACGCATTTATCAGTTAACCCTTTGACTGTCGCGGCCGTATATATACGTCTTACGAGGTACCGTGTTTGACGTATATATACTCATAAATTCTAGCGGCTTCAAATCAAGCAGGAGAAAGCTGGTAGGCCCACATGTGAGAGAATGGGTCTGTGTGGTCAGTGTGCACCATATAAAAAAAATCCCAGTGCATAATGAGAAAAAAAAACTGACTGTTTTTTTTTTTTAATTAAAATGCCGACTTTGTGGTCTATTTTCGTATAGTATTTATGGTTGTATTCTCGTTTTCTTGGTCTCATTTGATAGAATGGAAAACATATAGAAATAGAGGTGATTTTGATTGATTTTACTATAAAAAGAACCTGGAAATGGAGCTCAAAGTAGGGGAAATGTTTGAGTTTTGCCAATGTTCAAAAGTAAACAAATGATGTCATTATCCACTAAATGTCCAACTAGCCATTCTAATATGCAGTCATGAATGGGTTGATGTTATTTATACAATTACAGTGGACCCCCGGTTAACGATATTTTTTCACTCCAGAAGTATGTTCAGGTGCCAGTACTGACCGAATTTGTTCCCATAAGAAATATTGTGAAGTAGATTAGTCCATTTCAGACCCCCAAACATACACATACAAACGCACTTACATAAATACACTTACATAATTGGTCGCATTCGGAGGTAATCGTTATGCGGGGGTCCACTGTATTACATTATTGCAGTAGTCTGCATAATAGTAAGTCTTCTAGAAATTTTTTGTTTGAATAAAAATTCAAAATAGAAAGCAAGAGTAATATCAGAGGGGCCTGGAGACATGACTGATGAACAAAGAAAATGTTGTTTTAGAGCCAGGAATGTCTGCATTGTTCATTCTGGACCTTATTTTGAAATTGTCATATTTTTTATTTTTCGTGAAATTGGCCAAATTGCAAATTTCTGACCACATTATTGGGTAGTTGAAATCGGTAAATGGGCAGTTTCTTGTACTCAATCGATAGAAAAAATGGAGTTCTAAAGAAATAGCTATGAGTTTGGTCGACTTGAACAACGGAATTAGCCGAAAATAGGGCTCAAAGTGGGCGAAATTGCCGATTTGTAAATATCGCCGAGGTCGCTAACTTCGCGAGAGCATAATTCCGTCAGTTTTCCATCAAATTTCGTTTTTTTTGGTGTCATTACAATCGGGAAAAGATTCTCTATCATTTCATAAGAAAAAATAATTTTTTTTTTTTTTAAATTTTGCGACACCAGGAGACACCTCAGGATTGGGGGTTGCAACAGTCAAGGGGTTAATTGTGGTAAGTTAGATTCAAGTGGACTTGGTTTATTCCCAAATCTTAGCCATGAAATACCTGAAAGAGAACTTTCATATGAGCCTAAAGGTAACCTGAAAACTTCAATTTTATATTCTCGTTGGGTTTTCTCTTATTTCTACATATTGATATCTATTCTCGTTGGGTTTTTCTCATCTTATTAGACAAAATAATTCATAAGGTGCCCCTCTCCTGCCCAGCATGAGCCAGCAGATCTACTGCTACCTACTTATACAACACTGGGATCTGCTTCTTGCTACTGCATAAAGTCAAGCAGTTTATCGGTTCAAGAACACACTAATACTGAAACAGTTGATGGTATAGAAATACCAA